CTGGTTACCCGTACTGCGTGTCTGCGACCACAGCGCTCGAACTAACCAGGATAGTGCCTTGTCGCAGTTTAACTTGGCTGATTCTGGGTGAGGCTTTGCTCCCTGTTACCAGTGCAAACCCTTCTTCAGCTTTAACTTTTGCCTTGAGCTGTGCCACAATGTCTTCTGCCCAGAGAACCTTTCCCTTCGGCTGCTGCAGACCCGAGCGCTTGGCAGGGGCTGAAGGGGTCTTTCTTCTCTGGGAAGAAACGAGTGCGGAAGCTGCTCTGGCTTTCGTGTCCCTGGCAACTGTGTTATTGTTGGATGCCCTTTTTATAGGCGGCTGTTACTGATTGGGCTGCTTTGCCTGAGCCTTGGTGCTCTCAGTAAAAATGTCGCTGGCCCAGACCAGGAGCAAGAGAGGTGATATTTCTGGTGTCGGGCCAGGTGGGGCAGGGCTGGGGACAAACTTGCTTGCCGCTTCTTGCTTACTCTCCAGCACTGCCTTCCAAACCGTCAAATCTTCGGTCTGGGAAGAAGCTTGTGTGGGTTGGTGTTTGCACTCGCTGGGGGCTGCAGAGCAGGCTGCGGTTGCCCGGTCCTGGACGGGATGGGGTTAGGCTCTGCATGAGTGGGTTACGTGAAAACTTTGCCCCTTCCAGGCACCACGTGGTCTGTAGGAAGGAAACCTTTTGTGCTTTAGTCAGAGCTCCCTTTCTGTTCCCGTTATCTGGAAGGAAAGAGATGAAAAGACAGAGCTGCTCTGTAGAGGCAGAAGGCATGTGGCTAAGGTATTTTGTAAAATGTGTGGCTTTTGGGCTGGAGGAGGAGATTTTATGCTAGGGTGACCTTGCAGTACTCAGCGTCTCCATGGTGTGAGACCTTATTCTGGAATAATGCTATATTTTGGTATGTAGGATGCAAACGTGAACAAAGTGACGAAGTGCTGTGGAGTGTACCGTTCTTCCGGACGTCGTAGGGAAAAGGGAGCATGGGTGAAGTAATGGAACAGCTGATTTCTCAAGCTTGTTTGAGGTACCCTTTTTTTGGCGGGGTGTGTGAAAGGTTCAGGGGAGAGGTTGTCTTTATCAGTAGTACTGCTCTTTAAGGTTGTCGAGTTGTATCATGTAACTTCCAAAAAGCACAGCTTTTTGCTCCAGGTGCCTCGTGTCAGTATTGTTAGCAACAGCCTCCTGGAATGCTTTGCACCTGGTATGGTTCCCTTGCAGACCCCTGCACATAACCTGACACCTGGTTTTAATGGGATGTTGCATAGATGAATAGAAACCTGTGTTTCTGTTCAAAACAGGTCTTCCATGTTCTCTCTAGCCATTTTGGTTTTTTTCAATGTTTAACTTTCATATTATGAAGAGTAAAGGAATAGAGATTGGCTATGGCTTCTGCAAAGTCCATTTTTCTAGCTTGCCTCGTGTCTTGTCAAAATACATGCTGCTGTAATATCTAAATGTAAGGGGACTGTTATTATTACTTTTCAGTAGGACTGTGGCAAAGGAACTGCCAGTTATTTATTCCCTTCAGTTTAGTCATAGGCTACCTAATTGACTTCTGTTTTCTCCTTTTCTTTGAGAAATGCCTTGGTATGCAAGAAACTAGCAGCATCCTCCAAGGATATGGGAATTCTCTCGATGAACTTCAAAAGGATTTTCTAGAAGCTTAACGTCTTCCCTGAGACTGTCAGAGGCAGGGCCTGCCTGAGCCCAGGCACAGAGCGTCCTGGACACTGACCGCTGCCAGCCTGGATGTTCTGGGAACTTAGTGTCATGGAGACTGCATGATTTCTGTTGGTATCGCAACCCCACTGCTGCCAGGGTAGAGGAAAGAGTTGCTTCTGTGATGTGACTGGGAGTTTGTCTGGGGATTGCGTGTCCGGTGTCAGACACGGGTCAGAGTTGCACCTAGCTTTACCAGATTTCGGGTTAGCAGTAGGCAGTCCTCCACATTGTGGACTACCTTGGCACTGTCTGTAAGAAAAAGTGGATGGTGTATGATGCAGTAATGCAAGCACATTTGAGCATTCAAATATTTATAAATTACTGAAATTTGTGCTGAAGCCAGTAACAGAAGTCGCTGCAGATGGTGGAGTACTGTATTATCAACACTTCTCCACCTTCTTGCTCCATTCAAGCTGATAAGATTGGGACTACATTCATTAAATCTGATTGCTTATGATGGAGAACCTTCACGCTGCAAGCAAAACCAGGAAAAAAAATTATCAACTTCTTTGCCAAGATACTTGAGCTGAAATAACTGTCTGAAGTGAATTCTCCCAAATTCTGGGCTTTACAGTATAGTGAGCAC